ACTTCTGTGTAAGGGGCAGCATGGTCTTCTAGGATCACTATCTTGAGCCAATAAAATGTAAGCTTTGTTCTGCTGAAGTTCTTGAAAAAATTATTTACTGTATCCACACTTCAGCATTTTTTTAACTGTTTTATTGTTTAAAGAAGTGATCTCCAAAATCCTCTGATTATACAGTTCTAACAAGAAAAGTATTTGCACACACTTTCTAGGATAAAGGGAATTATGAATATATTTTATTTATAATCTACTACAAAGTAGTATGATATTAGATATATTTACAAAATATACACAAAAGTAGCAATTGCTAAAGGATGACATACATCACAAACAAAAATGGAATCATTAATGTTTTGTTTCTACTATCTTCCCCACACTTTGTTGGTATACCCACCACCCTAATTTTAGAAAAGATTGGTAAAAAGTAGACTCATCACTGGACAAGGTGAAACAAAAGAGGACCAACAGAAACAAGCAAATTAATCTTCCTGCAGCACCTCAAACACACATAGGAGTGCATGTCTTTAAGTTTTCAATTCTAAATTATATTCAATTAAGTTACACTTCCATTGTATACACATAGATCAAAATGGTTATTTGCAAAGTGCAGCTAATGGAAACAATGTGAAGAAGCCATATCTCATCTTAAAAGTTAATGTTATAGGGATCTTGCACCTTGTTATTAAACTTCTTTACATCAAAATTAAATTATTGATATGTAGTTTTCAAAGAAGGGGTTTCTTCTATGAGGGATTTGTGTGAAAGACAGGAGTGTAAAGAAGAGTGGGAAAACGTCACCGATTCTTGTTTCTATGTCCTACCTAAAGGAGTTATTTGTACAAATTAGGATTGTCAAGTAATAATAACAGTGATTTATATTTATCATCATTTGCTTCATTTGATCCTCACAAACAGCCCCATGATCTAGGGTCTGTTGTAGTTTTCAGTCTACAAATGAGGAGATTGAAGCTCAGAGAATCAAGTTGTCTTTTGCACAAATTCTTAATGATACCTAATTTCCACCATAAAGTTATTTTAGAGAGATTGCTACAATACCAAATTAGATGTAGGATTTTGCTTTGTAAAGCTGTGTCAAATGCACTTTAGTTACTTGAAAACTACTTACTCTGCAGGCCACCACACTTTCAGATGAAGTAATCTAGGTATTCTGAATCCTCTACTAACTTTTCAAGGCAGATGTCAAGACAGGCTATGTCATCCTCTATTTTTTTCACATCATGTTCTCATTGTACGACCAACTAAGTAGCTAACCTTTTTTTAATGGCTCTTTACTCTTGTACAATATTTTTGAGTGGGTGATATTAGTATTTGGAGAAAGAATTGTCCTTTCAGCAGAGAGTATATCACATTTTGCAACACCTTCAGCTTTCCACCAACTAAACACCAGTAATTCCTTTTGCCACTCATAGTTTCTGATTTTTTTTTTTTTGTGAAGCAGGGTCTCACTATGTAGTACAGGCTGGACTTGACCACACTTATGTAGCCCAGGCTGGCCTCAAACTCACAGCAATCCTCCTGTCTCAACCTACCAAGTGCTGGGATTACAGTTATGCACTACTACGTCCAGCTCTCATGCTATAAAGGTGAAAGTATCACCAAAATTAGTATTGTTATACCAAAGAAAGCTCAAGACCATAAACAAATTGGAAACTCAAGTACTGAAGCTAATAAATTCTTAACTAATAAGTATTTGTTATGCTGCATGTAACTGAAAACAAAATACACATGGAAATTGACATTTCTCTTGTTGTAGACTTTAGACATTTATTTTCAGTTACAATATTAATCAATTGATTAATAAATCCCACAATTAAAAATATTAACCAGAGAGAGTCAGCAACTTGGGCAATTTGGCACAGCAGACTAAAATTATTTCTTAACAAATCCTAAAACTCAAATTCTCATAGATTAAGGGATGAGAGAAAAGTACATTCCATGTTTTCCTGATTGAATTTTGAAAACGTAAAGCTGTGGTGCTTCATGCTCTCCCTACTGGCGTCACTAACCTTAAGGAGAAAGTGATAATGCATTATTATCACCTAATACATACTTAAACGGAGTAGCTAGTCATGTACAGCAGTTTTTCTGTTTTTTTTTTTTTCATTTTCAGCTATTAAAAATGATAGTTCCTTAAGAAATATACACCACAATAAATGAAAAGCTTATTCAACCATGGTAAAGAGACATAACAAAGCCAGTATGAATGGTACAGCAAGTTGAGGAAAATGAAATCTGCTATTAAATAAGACAGACGTCACTTCAGCAAAAACAGTAATCAATGCAATCATAGCAATAAAATAAGGTTTGTATTCAGTTCCTTTCATGGAGTTCAAATAATGGGTATCTTTTCTAAATTAGTAGTTTTGATAATGTAAACAAAACTAGCAAAAACAAATAAAAAGTACTTTCAATGTATAGCATATTAACATTACTTGGAGTCACTACCCCACATACTTTCTTCCTTCAAATTTTCTTGAAGATCATTTCATTTATATCACTTGTTCTTTACATGACTAAGTCATTCTTTTTCTTTATAATTTTGTATTCTTGAACAAAGCTTTTAATACTTTTAGTAAGTCCATAATCAGCTAAAATTGCATTATTTTAGGCTTTCACTACCATTTCTCCATTGCTTGTAGTTATTACAATAGAATCTCCATTTCTTGTAGTTCTTTTTCTTATTCATGAGAAAAGCATTTCTTTTGTAAGAATTTTTCTTTTGTATGGATGATTGAATGCAGGACCTTCGCCCTGAGCAACATGCCCAACTGTTTTTAATTTTTTATTTTGTACAGAGTCTGTACAAATTGCAAAATTGCCCAGTCTAGGCTTGAACTTGAAATCCTCCTTTCTCAGACTTGCAGAGTGCTGGGATCACAGGTGTGTACCACTGTGCCCAGCTCCTTTCTATATTTAAATAAGAATGTTAGATAACCCAGTGGCTTTTCTTTACCAATAACTTTCTCCATAGAAGTCATATATACATAAAGTGCACCATAGTCAGTACTGATCCAAATCTAAGTCACCTCCAAATGAAACTTACTTTTGATGGAACATTTGTTCCCAGAAATAGAATGAAATCTCCTCACATAGTACTTGCTATATCTGAATGCAGAAAGAGTCTTATTCCAGGATAAAACATGTGATGGTGTTCAGCCTGGTGGGCATTTCAGAGGACCCAAATGAAATTCAGAATTTACAACCATCTCTGCAACTTGCTGTTGGTTACTCCTGTGATTTCACCTTAGACTGCCATCTCGCTGACCAGAGCTGCTCATTTGCTGATACTGCATACGTATTCAATGTTGTTCTCAGTGGTTTTAGTATCTTTCTAGTCATGGAGGATCCAGCTTGTAATGTTACTATTTCAAAGTGCAGAATATCAAACTCACATTCAGAGAATACTAATCTCTCAAATAGGAACTGCTTATTTATTTTTGCTCTACAGTAGAAAGAGTTTGTCACTGTAGTTGGACAACTATGTGAAATTACACTTACCCTTCAGGCTGTCTCCAAAGTGTTTTTCAGATCTGATGTACTTTTATTGTAAGATTAATTATATAATTTTATGGATAAATTTTAAACTTTTTTTTTTTTTTTTGGTTCACACTAGCCTTCTTAAAAATGGTGGGGGGAGCATATGGTCCTACCTTTGCAAACTCTGTCTTCTCCCTAAAGGAAAATGTAATGAAGAACTATTTGATTATCTCATACTTATTTCAAAAATATATGTAATTACCCTATATCTGGTTATACATGAAACCATTTTGAAGATGACATTATGTAATATAACAACCATTGTGAATATCCTATCACCTTGTTTTGAAATTCTGTATCATTTTTATTGTTCTCTATACTGTTTTGTATATGTATTTGCTTTTGTTATTTTGAGGATTTTTTAATGAAAAAACAAAATTTATATGTGTATATAAAGGTAGCTGGAATAGGCGTATTACTGATGTCCGTGGTTTGTTGAAAGGAACAGTTAATGCTTAAAATTTTCTTTTTTCTTGACCAATTTTGCACGCTTGAATTTGGTATTCAGAATGCTTGATCTGAAAGCAACAATATGCAGTACAAGAAGCATTATTGAACTCCTACCATCTTGTATGCTGAAGCTCTGCATCATTTCCAGTGTTGTTGTCTTGTTTATTACTTGTTATTGTCTTTGATTGTTTGATCAGTCTTACATTCTTACCTCTGGCGGACTGAGCAACTTCATTGAAGATAATAGTATGTAATGTAGCAATCATTGTCAATTCCTATCATTTTGTTTTGAGGTCATGTATCATTTTTGTTGTTTTTGTGTTGTTTCAGTTTTGTCTTTATTGTTGTTTTGTTAGTTTTTTAATGTTTTTTTTTTTTTTTTTTTTTTTTTTTTTTTTTTTTTTCTCCGGTACCGGGAACCGAACTCACGACCTTGCGCTTGCCAGGCAGGCGCTTTTGCCGCTGAGCTAAATCCCCAGCCCCAGTTTTTTAATGTTTAAATAAAATAAAAAGTATATATATATATAATTACTGCATGTGTAAAAGCTTTCCTCACTCTTAGCACCAATGTTAATTTACCTCAAGCAAAGCAGTTCCTTTTGGCACAGCACAGACTTCAGGTTCTATCACAGCTATTTTCTGTATGTTTATAGCTCATGTGGACAAAAGTACAACATAAATGATTGAATTTTAGATGTCCTGCATCATTCTATAACATGATTTCATTCTAAATGTACATTATATAATTTGTCTTAGCATTCTGATGTTTCTATACCCTCTTTAGTTGCAACCATTTGAAAGCTTTCTTTTCAAGAAATTGGACTAATTTTATAAATTTATGATTTAAATCATTCATCCCACTTCTTTAACTTCCTAGCTTCCATACAAAGTTTGATGTCTCCGTTGACTGTAGGTTTTATTCCAATTAAATGATCATCAACAACTTTTCAATATAGACAACACTTTAATTAATATCAATTTTTATCTCTTAAAAGGATCCTTCCCGGCCATTGGGGTGGAGACGTTTTGTCCCAGCTTCCTGAGGGCAGGGTTTTTAAATAGCATCCAGGCCCCGCATCCAGTGCCAGGGGGAGGATCTTTGCCCCCCAGGATTCCTGGTAGGTATTTTCAGTGAAGTTTTTTATTGCATATAAAACAGAAAAACTGCATGATAGACTTTGACAGACTCATTATAATACGAACATTTCTAAAATGTGTTTTTGAGAAGAAATGGAAGTGACTCTTTGTAATTCACTAGGTACCACATTTATGATACCTAGTGTAAAGTAGCAGAAAGACAGTCTAGGTGCCAAGTATCCAATTAACAGAGCATTGATCTACTGGGAAAATTTGTGCATAAGTAAGAACCAGAGATTCAGATTTCTAATTTGTAACTCAAGAATGAAGCAAAGGTGGGTTTAAGCCACTGTGCCAGTTGGAATTGGCCAGAAAATAGAATTAAAAACTAACTGTTCTTGACAGAAAGAGTAATTCCATATTTCAATGAAAGTATAGATACTTAATTACAGTTCCATTTCACTGTAGAAAAGTGATTTGAAGAAAAGCCAGAAAGTAGCAAATTTGGAAGAAATTTTTGAGAAAGAAAATTAATGTGCAATACTCTCTAAAAATCAATCTGACCAAAGGCATTACATAAAATATAGAATATTAAGCATTTTAAATTGCAATTTCAAAGTTTAGTGAAAAACATTATGTGTTATTCATGGTATGAATATAACCACAAATTGTTCTTTCCTGTCATTTAATAAAATATCCAGCTGCTTTCCCCCATTATACCTGAAGGGTAAAAACAAAACTTATCTTTTATATGTGTCTTAAAAAATAGAATTGGAACATTGATTCTTAAAGTTTTTGTTGTTTCTTACATTTTTATCATAATAACAATGCTACATGTTATGGTAGAGACATCAATGCATTTAAGAGGGCTGTTAAGCCAGCAATGTCATTGAGAACATTTGAAGAGACTGGGAAGTCTAGCAAAAACAAAATCTCAATATGCAAAGTGTTTGGTTTTCTCAGAATAATTACACCAACAAACCCTGAGGTTATTATATTATTTTTCTTTTGCCTTTCAATTATTCTTTTTTTCTTATTATAAACATAAAAAAATCAACCAACTATAAATACTCTTTGATATCATTTGGTTTTATAGTTGAATAATTTAGTGAGATGTTTAGAGACTTTATGGCTAATAATTCCACTAATAAGAGCAAGAAAATTATGTAAATTATGGGGATCAATGGAACAGACAAGAAGATGCAGACACAACTAAAAACACACTAAGCAATCTTATCTTTCACAAACGGGCCAAACATACTCACTGAAATAAAGATAGCCTCTTTTACAAATGGTGCTGGTAAAACTGGCTCTCCACATGCAGAAGACTAAAACTAGGCCCATGTCTATCACCATGCGCCAAACTAAAGTTAAAATGGATCAAAGATCTAAATATCAAAACAGAAACACTAAATCTACTAGAAGAGAAAGTAGGTAGAAATCTTGACAACATTGGAGTAGGCAGAGAGTTCATGAATAGAAACCAAACTGCACAGGAAATACTTCAAAGAGTCAACAACTGGGATCTCATCCTATTGAAAAGTTTTTGCACATCAAAAGAAATCACCAACAGAGTAAAAAGAAAACTCATGAACTGGGAAAAATTTTTAGCAACACTGCCTCAGACAAAAGACTGAACATATAAAGAATTTTTTTAAAATCAAGCCCTCAAAATTCAAAGACCCAGTCTAAAAATGGGCATCTGAGATGAATGCACACTTCTCAGATGAAAAAATACAAATGACAAATAAATATATAAAAAAAGTGCAGCATAATTTGCCATTCGAGAAATACAAATTAAAACAATGCTGAGATTCCATCTCCCCCCAGAAAGAATAGCCATCATCAAGACAGCAACCAATAACAAATGCTGGAAGGGCTGTGGAGAAATAGGAACCTTTCCCAACTGTTAGTGGGAGAGTAGACTGGTGCAACCAATGTGGAAATCAGTCTGAAGATTCCTTAATAAACTAGGCTTGGAGGTCCCATTCAACCCAGCTATTACCCTTTTTCCAGAAGAACTGAAATCATCATACCACAGTGATATATGTGCACTCATGTTTTTATAGCAGCACATCTTGTAAGAGCTAGATCTTGGAAACAACCCAAATGCCCATCAACCAAGGAATGGATAAAAAACGATGTGGTATTTTTATACACTGGAGTACTACTCAGCCATAAAGAAAGATAAACCCGAGTCTTTTATAGGTAAATGGATGCAACTAGAGACCATGCTTATAAGTGAAATAAATCAGACTTGCATGTGTAAACATTATATTGTATCCCTGGTGAGAGAAACTGAAAGAGTAAATAAGATCCAAAAAGTACAATAGCTATTGCAAAAGGGAAAGAAGCTGCTCAAAGGGAAAGAGAAACTGAGATGGGAGAAAGGAGAAAAGAAGATAGGAGAAAAATATATATATATGTATATATGCACAAGATAGCTAAGATAATTGTACTACTAATTTCTACTAGCTCGTTGAAAAGAACAGTTAGTACTTATATTGTTTGATAAATCTTGTATGCCTATGTCTTGTAATCTGAGTAACTACTTTGAAGACAACAATATACAATATAATAGTCATTGTTAATTTGCTATAATCTTGTTTTGAAATTCTGTATCATTTTTATTGTTTTTATCTTTAAAATAAAAAAATAAATAAAATATTAACTATGTTAATTCTAATGAGTGTTGTGCCACATTTTCCCTCCTGGAAATAGAAATGCTGTAGTATCAACGGCATAAGAAATTTTTGCTGTTATTGCACCTGCTGCTCCTGCTGTTGCAAAAGATTAGAGAGGAAAATTTGTATAGGCTGAACTCTCCAAACTACTATACTATAAAAATGTACCTTTCGTATATATAATTGATTTTTCAGTGATTGGAATTAAGATGAACAGATGTGTAATTTAATGGCATCAGTTTAATGACAAATCTAGTAAATTTAGATATGTTTAGCAGAAATGATATGTTAAAGTTTAGTTGTGATTTGAATTATTCAATATTACTGGTAAAAAAATAAAATAAAATAACCTCTGTAATTTAGCCACTGGGAATGATGGAAGGAAGATGATCTCTGTACAACACAAACATAGAAACAACTTTCCGGAGAGGGACCTTAAAGAATACGCTAGTACTCTATTCTTCTAGGCTTTATGCCAAATTTACATCTAGCTTTTATAGGAGAAAAAAATTGCTCAGTTTTCATGACTTACATACAAATCAGGCATAACAAAATTGCTTCATAAAAATTTTATAGATCTAAACCTATTCCTGTTCCCTCAAACTGAAATTAACTCACCTCACTTCTCCTGGCTTATATCACTTTGATAAGTGATCCTTTCATTCTTTGTCACTTTTCAGTAAAGACTGCTACAATTTTGAACTTATTTTTCAACCTCTCCTATGCAACTATAACTTATTTCCCAAGAATTTTCTTTATAATTTTGTGTAAAGAGGAATGAAACAGTAATCATGAGGAATTTTTAATGTTTCAAGTTTTTAACAACCTATAAGTATATTTTCTTCATCTAACATCTGAATGGATGCCCCTTCAAGCTTAGGGTATCAGTGTGAGGACAGATCCTCCTGTGGCCCACACCATGACACTTTAAATAGTTGTTTGAAGGTTGATTTACTCTGGACAGCAGTTAATTTACTTTCTATGAATTGATTATATATCACAGTACTTTGAAGATCTCATAAGACAGTTCCCATGTTATTGAAGGGATTACCAAGCCTGTCTGAGTGATGTTGTTAATTTAGTTTTCAGTTCCTTATCTTAATCAAATTTAAATGAGATGCATAACTATGTCTTGTATAAGATAGTTTGTTTGCTTCATGTCACAGTGTGCTATAAAAAAGCAATATTTCCATAATACTTACTTTTACATTAACTTTGATGATAAACTCATCACTGAATCATGAAACCCAGAGAGGAAACAAGCCTAAGTCAGTCTTTATAGACAATAGTCAATTGCTTATAAATTTCTCATTTCTGGAAAAGTCATAGTAAACAGTTATCATGCATTGTCTTAGATAGAGAAAAATACTAGGAAGTATTAGCTGAAAGTTGAATGTGAAGGAAACAAGCAGTATGTGAGCTATAGAAATAGGTAAGTTCTGAAAATTCAATATTAAAATTTCCCTAATATTTTCTGTGTGATTAATCTTAGCGCTTTTCAGTAGAGCTGATGTTTTCTGAAGTACCATCTTTCTTCACCAACCTGTGCTGTAAACACTACTACAACACCTATTTTGACATTGTTACCTGAGATTTCCTTCATATGACTTGTGCTAGGTTTAAAGAAAAGGGCAAAGACAGAGTGAGACTTCCTCTCTCATTATTCTGAGCCAAGTAAGAGGATGTATGGACATTTAGAAGCTAGATTTGCATTTACTGAGTATAGAATTAATAATGTTTAATATTATTTATTTGTCCTTTGAGAAGAGATCTTGATGAGACTTAAACTCACAAGATGAACTTTTCAGATCCTCACTTCTGTCCCCTGATTATCCGTGTTAGGAAACAGGTTCACAATCCAGTTTTATATATACTAATAACATGTACAATGAGAACATTTCTATAGCAAAAGATTTAGAATTATCAGTCAATATTAAAATGTCTTCACAATCAATTAACAATGATTATCTATATTCTCCTTTCCATATTTTATGTAAAATACTATCTGGTAAGGGGTCAGGACAATCTTTGCATGTACTACTATCTAATCACACCATTTCTTTTCAGAAAGAGTATGATTTAGATATTGGAAGTAGACCAGGAATGATAACTTTTAACCTGCAGAAAGTCTAGGATCTGGTTAATATAATATTACAGTATCAGGTTTTGGATATAGACAATTGCAGAAAAGAAGTAGCACAAATATTTATGGCTAGGTGATAGATTTAAAGGAATATGAGTAAGTTAAAGCAAATTGTCATAAACCATACGTCAAGCAAAATCAGCAGCAGAAAAGTATATACATTTTAAATAACAGTCACTACACTTCAGAGGAATCAAAGTAAACCATTTAATTT